AGACACAGAGACAAAGGGAAAGACAGAGTTTGGAATAATTAATAAGGGAGGCCAATAACAGATGATATGAGAGACATACGAAAATGAGAATGAGTGAGACACATGGCAAGAGAGAATGAAGCAGAGGCAGTGGAAAGAGAAACAGAGAGACAGACACAGGGAGACACACAAAGAAAACAAGGATGCAAGCCCACACACAGTAGCAGACAGAGCGAGGGACACAGAGGTAAGATGGAGAGTTTAGGGAAATGCAAAGAGACACACAGAGAGAGAGAGAAACAGCGGGACAGAGAGACATGGAGAAACAGAGGACTGGAGAGACACGGAGACAGATGAAGAGTTTGAGAGAGAGAAGGCAACAGAGAAACTGAGCTAGCGAGGCCAGGAGAGGCAGAGAGAGAGAGATGGAGAGAAATGGACAGGGAAAAACACTCAGGAAGCATGAACACAGAAACACGGTGAGACAAACAGAAAACAAGTGGACATAATTCTAGATTTGAAGCTTTCGTGGCTGCAAGGATTCATACTCTGTTTTTTTGCGGTAAAGTCACGTAGGTGAAACAATTAACAAAATAAAATAATCAAATAATAAAAATAAAACATAATAAAATACAATTCTCACGACGTTTCGGCCACAACGCAAGCAGCCGTCCTCAGGTGAAGAACAGGTCTGTCGAGAAGACAGCGTCTGAATGGACAGACCTGTTCTTCACCTGAGGACGGCTGCTTGCGTTGTGGCCGAAACGTCGTGAGAATTGTATTTTATTATGTTTAATTTTTATTATATTATTTCCCTTCTACGTGACTTTACCGAAAGAACCAAGAAGATGAATCCCTGCAGTCACAAAAGCTTTAAATCGAAAAATAAAATAAATGAAACAACTAAATTAAATCACGACGTTTCGGAGGCAACTCAAGCCTTCCTCATCAGGTGTATAAAGGCACAGCAAAATAACTGTAGCTACAGTTATTTTGTTAATTGTTTTAGCTACGTGACTTTACCGAAAAAAAACAAAGAATAGCAAGTGGACAGACAGTAGGAGCAGCGATAGAAACACACAAATACATAGAGAGACACAGACACTCACAGAGAGATGCAGACAAAAAGGATGAAATGAAACGTGGAAATAGGAAGATAGCAAAAATTTGATAAACAGAAACACGGGGAGGCGATGAGAGACGCTCGGGGACATTGAGATGCAGGGGAAACAATGAGACATGGGGACAGACGCGGAGACATCAGGAAGAGACAGAGAGACACACCGAGACACACCGAGACACCAGGAGACTTCAGGAAGAGACAGAGAGACACACCGAGACACCAGGAGACACCAGGGAGAGACACAGAGACACTGGGAGACATTGAGACACGGGCAGACACAGAGACGGGGGGGGGGGGGGGGGTGTTGGGTCGGGGTGGAGTGGAGTGCACGGGTGTCAATCAAAGCTCCCTTTGAAAACAGTCGGCAACTGTAAAAGGCAACACACGCCAACTCACAGCCCTCTCTCACACACACATGTGCGTGCACACGTGTGTACAAGCACTATACATACAAAGATCCCCCATATAGCCTTAACAGACTGTAGGGGCAAGTGCTGTTAGCGAGCACCTATGAAGGCCGGAACGGTACACGAGGGGGTGGGTGGCCACCACCACGCCCGACCGCCTTTGTCTCCCCAGTGGCGATGTTTACACACCGCACCACGTACTCATTTGAGGCCGAGTCGACCTAGGGGAGGCCCGGGACCGGTTCAGATAATCGTCACTGGTGTTGGCCGTGAACGGAGATCGAATTCGGGTGCCCGGGTTCTTAGCTCAGCGGCGCTAACCACTACACTACCGCTCCCTACTAACACAAAGACAAATATCCCCCGTGTAGCCTTAACAGACTGTAGGGGCAAGTGCTGTTAACGAGCACCTATGAAGGCCGGCACGGCACACGAGGGGGTGGGTGGCCAGCACCACGCCCGGCCGCCTTTGTCTCCCTAGCGGTGATGTTTACACACCGCACCAGGTACTCGTTTGAGGCTGAGTCGACCAAGACCGGTTCAGATAATCGTCACTGGTGTTTGCCGTGAGCGAGAATCGAACCCGGGTCGCCAGGTTCGTAGTGCAGCGTAGCGTTAAGCGCTACACTACCGCTCCCCACTAACACAGACACGCAGACACACACACACGCACACAAACATGCGCACACACACACGCACGCCCAGTGGTGTCCGTGATAGGTATTGAGTGGCTGTCTGGCCTCGCCCGCACGGCTCTGCTGGGGCTGTGTCAACCTGGGCTCGTTATAGGCACATCGACCCGCGTGTGTGCGACTGTGTGGGGGCAAGTGCTGTTACACACACTCACGTGCGCACTGATGCTCACTCATACACGCACGGACAGAGACCCACTCGCAACACACTCGTGACAAAGAAGTCCACGGATACACTCGCAACAACAACCGCACTTTGCCTCCAAGTGGAGGTGATGTCACCACAATGCTTGTGCCAGGCTGGGTGCACCCACAGCAACACACACACATGGATAGATACACCGAGACACAACCTACAAATCGCCGTTCGCCACTAGTGGTGGTGACATCACCACAGCGCTCGTGCCAGGCCAGGTGCACACAGTCGCACATTTAAGACACAAACACACGCAACTTCACAGATGGATAGATGTACGTACACACGCACAAGCAGACGCACGCATAGACACAAGTAGATCATCACACAAAGGCAAAGATGCCCCCTATAGCCGACACAGGCTGGGAAGGCAAGTTCTATTAGCGAGCACCTATGAAGGTCGGCACGTCACACGACAGGAGGGTCGTGTGACGGTTCACAACAACTTCACGCATGCTTACAGACTCAGAAACAAAATAAAAAATATATTTAAATTTTACCAGGTAAGGCTCACCGAACAATACAGCTCGTTTTCAGAAGCGACCGGGCCACAAATGATAGCTCAACGAAGTGGCTCATCATTTTCGGTAAAGTCACGTAGAATGGAAATAATAAAATAATAAAAATAAAACATTATAAAATAATTCTCACGTCGAGGAGACAGAGTCTGAATGTCAGACGTTGTCTTCTCGACAGACCTGTTCTTCACCTGAGGACGGCTGCTTGCGTTGTGGCCGAAACGTCGTGAGAATTATTTTATGATGTTTTATTTTTATTATTTTGTTATTTCCCTTCTACGTGATGACTTTACCGAAAGAACCAAGAAGATGAATCCCTGCAGTCACGAAAGCTTTAAATCGAAATTTTATAATGTTTCATTTTTATTATTTTATTATTTCCATTCTACGTGACTTTACCGAAAGAACCAAGATGAATCCCTGCAGTCACGAAAGCTTTAAATCGAAATTTTATTATTTTATTGTTTTATTTTTATTATTTTATTATTTCCCTTCTACGTGACTTTACCGAAAGAACCAAGAAGACGAATCCCTGCAGTCACGAAAGCTTTGAATAGAAATGTTGTCTCATCATTATCACGTCGGCATTTATAGCAGCCAAATAATAAAAATCGCATGTCGATTCTAAATGTGGAGGTGAAAAAACCGGGGGACACGGGAGAAAAATCCACACGATCACAGCGGAGAACACGCAAACTCCAAACATTACAGCAGGGGTCAGGGTCGGGATCAACCCCATGACCTCCTGCATACAAGGCGAGGTAGTTAACATTTCACCACTGTGGATGCCAGTGGCGGCTGCTTGCGTTGTGGCCGAAACGTCGTGAGAATAATTTTATGTTTTATTTTTATTATTTTATTACTTCCCTTCTACGTGACTTTACCAAAAGAACCAAGAAGAAGAAGACATAAAGATCGTTACATACGTACACAGACCCACGCACACCGATACGAAGAAACATAACCACACAAATATACAAACACTCACAGCACATACACACACGTATTCATATAATGACACGGACATGCACTGCCCTTATGTCAATCCGTTGCGAGATGAGGGCCTCTCCAAACCGTCCGTGCGGGTCACATGGGTTACTTGAGCATACTTGACCACGATGGTCAGTGCAGATTGGCAAAAGACAGTGGAGCATAGACACAGGAGCATAGAAGCACAGTACAACAGGGTATTTTTTTTCTTCTTTTGCAATATCCACCACTGCCCAAGGCAGGCTGGCATGCGTGCTGGTCACTCATTCAAGCACTATCCAGGCTCAACTCTTGCTTAGCCTTCAAAGATGTGATGAGGCCAGGTGCATGCCGGGTGATTTGTTCATGCGCTGTGCGTGTGTGTGTGTGCGCGCGTGTGTACCACACTCAGTCATCTCAGTCATCTCGGTCAGTCGACCCGTGGCACCTGGATCTGCCCCGTGACCTCCTGCCAGCGGGCGTTCGACACTTCACGTGGCCTCAAGGTGCACATGGTCTGGCACAAGCGTCGTGGTGACGTCACCGCCACTTAGTGGCGAATGGCGGTTGTTGTTGTTGTTGTACCACACTAGCACGAGCTTATTTTGGTGTTTCCACCGTGATGATATGGAGGCTCGTGAAGGACGCTGCTGCTGGGCAGTTGGAGGCAGTCGCCCTCCAGCAACAACGGAGGGCAGAGGAACGACGCTCACAACAACGAGCGCAGCGCCAGACGGCTAAAATGCAGGTGATGCATCTACCGGTCATCTCAGTCAGTCAACCCGTGGCACCTGCTGGGTCTGTCCCGAGACCTCCTGTCAGCGGGCTTTCGACACTTCACGTGGCCTCAAAGTGCACCTGGCCTGGCACAGGCGCCGTGGTGACGTCACCGTCACTTCGTGGCGAATGGCGGGTATTGGTATTGATATCGCACTAACAGCACTTGCCCCAACATTCTGTTAAGGCTATAGGGGGGGGGGATCTTTGTCTTTGTACCGCACTGCGCTACAAAGCTGTTGAGAGTGTAGGGGAGACCTTTGTGTTTGTCATTTTATACCGAATATAATGTTGGTGTGTGCATGGTTATGACACAGAGACAGTGGTACGAAGGCTCACCGAAGTCTAGGATGTTGTTATGACTCATGTTTTGTAGTTTCATGATGGCCTGCCTGTGACACACACACAGAGACACAAGCACACACGAACATTAGCGCCATCTCGATTTAAAGCTTTCGTGACTGCAGGGATTCATCTTCTTGGTTCTTTCGGTAAAGTCACGTAGAAGGGAAGTAATAAAAAGAACCAAGAAGATTAGCGCCATCATCGTCACCATCATCATCTACGTCATCGTCACCATTGCTACCATCACCGCCGTCTTTAATGTCATCGTCACTATCACTGCCAATATGCAATCGTCGTGATCACCGTGATTGGGAGTAGGAAGTGGCAGGAAAGTGTTCGTCGAAAAAACAATTTTTTGAAGAAATGGTTGTGATGGGTGGGACGCGTGGTTTGCAGGGTGGAGCATCATGAGGGCAGGTCACCGAAACGACGGGCCACAGGCGAGTGACCCAGGGGGCGGCGTGAAGGTGACGAGCCTCTAGCAGCGGTCCTTAACGTCAAGGACAGTGCATACATTATCAGAGTTATGTTTTTTGTTTGCATCACGACTGCAGATATTGTGGTCTATGCAAACATGACTCCTTGTAAAAAAAGGTGTCAGTTTTGTTGCCAGATAGAAGGGTAAAAAACCAATTATCATATTTTTTACTGGCAAATGAGGTTCCAATGTTGTAAATAAAATAACTTTATCGGTACCAAGTCTCCCACCAGGCCATGCGGGAGGGCGTGTGGCACAGTTTGGCGGCTGCTCTTGGAGAGTGGCGTCGGTCGTGTTGCTACGGTGTGTAACAACAACAACAACGACTGTCTTACTACGACGCCCCTCGAAATAAAATAAAATCGAGACCGAACCGCTTGTGCGTTACGAGATTCGACGGCGAACGGGATCCACACCCTGCAACAACTTGCAGACGTTCCCGCAGCGGGAAGGGGGTTAAGAGGTCACTGTGGGTTTCATAAAAAACCTGGGATCTGTGACTGACAAGGTCGGGACGACCTCTTTCCCGTGACCCAGACGCCACGGCCGCCGCTGCCCCCCCCCCCCCCTGTCGCTCACCGAAGGAGACCGAAGAGAAGCGAGGATTTCTCCTCCAGTGCCGTCTCCGTGACGAACGCGAAGCCGAACAGCGTCGAGACGTCCACCTCGTACGCCGTCGGAGCCGGGTCCAACCGCAGGAAGAGTCTGCGGAGACGCCACGGAGAGAGAGAGAGAGACGAGACGAGACACGGGGAGAAACGTCGGGAGGTGTGCGGAGTGACACGCGGAGGAGAGCGGAGGCATGGGGGGGGGGGAGAAAGAGAGGTGGATAGAGAAGACGTGGAAGGACGCAGGGAGACTAAAGAGAGATGTGAGACATGGGGAGACATCAGGAGATGCCGGGAGACCAGGGCGGACAAGGTCACCACGATGGTGAGATGTTAGCTCCCTCGCCTGGTATACAGGAGGTCGTGGGTTCAATCCCGACCCCTGACACCTGCTGTATATTTCGAGTCTGCGTGTCTCTCTCTCATCATCACGGTGGCTATGAGATGTTAACTACCTCGCCTGGTGTACAGGAGGTCGTGGGTTCGATCCCAACCCTGACGCCTGCTGCTGTATATTTGGAGTTTTCGTGTCTCTCTCTCATCATCATCATCACGGTGGCTAGGAGATGTTAACTACCTCGCCTGGTATACAGGGGGTCGTGGGTTCGACACTGACCCTGACCCCTGTTGTATATTTAGAGATTGCATGTCACTCTCCCTGTGGTAGTGTGGATCTTTCTCCAGGTCGTCTGGTTTTTCCCTCCACCTTAAGAATCGACACGCGCTTAGACTACTTGGCGGCTGCTATATATTTCCAAATGATGAGCCACTTCGTTGAGCTACCATTTGTGGCCAGGTCGCTTCTGAAAAAGAGCTGTATAGCTCAATGGGATGAACCTGATGTAAAAATTATAGTTGAGTTTAATAAGTGGGAGACACGAGACGATGGGGAGGTAAAGGGACACATGAGGAGACGCACAGAGGTGAAGGGAGACGAGGGGAGGTAAAGGGAGACACAAAAAGGCAAGGGGAGACATGGGGAGACACAGGGAGCCATGAGGAGACACAGGGAGACACGGGGAGACACGGGGAGACACGGGGAGACACAGGGAGACATGGGGAGCCATGAGGAGACACAGGGAGACATGGGGAGACACAAGGAGACACTGGGAGGCAAGGGGAGACACAAGGAGACATGAGGAGACACTGAGAGACATGGGGAGACACAGGGAGACATGGAGAGACACAGGGAGACATGGAGAGACACAGGGAGACATGGAGAGACACAGGGAGACACAGGGAGGCAAGGGGAGACACAAGGAGACATGAGGAGACACTGAGAGACATGGGGAGACACAGGGAGACATGGAGAGACACAGGGAGACATGGAGAGACACAGTGAGACATGGAGAGACACAGGGAGACATGGAGAGACACAGGGAGACATGAGGAGACACTGAGAGACATGGGGAGACACAGGGAGACATGGAGAGAAACAAGGAGACATGAGGAGACACTGAGAGACATGGAGAGACACAGGGAGACATGGAGAGACACATGGAGACATGGAGAGACACAGGGAGACACAGGGAGGCAAGGGGAGACACAAGGAGACATGAGGAGACACAGGGAGACATGGGGAGACACAGGGAGACATGGAGAGACACAGGGAGACATGGAGAGACACAGGGAGACATGGAGACACAGGGAGACACAGGGAGGCAAGGGGAGACACAAGGAGACATGAGGAGACACAGGGAGACATGGGGAGACACAGGGAGACATGGAGAGAAACAAGGAGACATGAGGAGACACTGAGAGACATGGAGAGACACAGGGAGACATGGAGAGACACAGGGAGACATGGAGAGACACAGGGAGACACAGGGAGGCAAGGGGAGACACAAGGAGACATGAGGAGACACTGAGAGACATGGGGAGACACAGGGAGACATGGAGAGACACAGGGAGACATGGAGAGACACAGGGAGACATGGAGAGACACAGGGAGACATGGAGAGACACAGGGAGACATGAGGAGACACTGAGAGACATGGGGAGACACAGGGAGACATGGAGAGAAACAAGGAGACATGAGGAGACACTGAGAGACATGGAGAGACACAGGGAGACATGGAGAGACACAGGGAGACATGGAGAGACACAGGGAGACACAGGGAGGCAAGGGGAGACACAAGGAGACATGAGGAGACACAGGGAGACATGGGGAGACACAGGGAGACATGGAGAGACACAGGGAGACATGGAGAGACACAGGGAGACACAGGGAGGCAAGGGGAGACACAAGGAGACATGAGGAGACACAGGGAGACATGGGGAGACACAGGGAGACATGGAGAGAAACAAGGAGACATGAGGAGACACTGAGAGACATGGAGAGACACAGGGAGACATGGAGAGACACAGGGAGACATGGAGAGACACAGGGAGACACAGGGAGGCAAGGGGAGACACAAGGAGACATGAGGAGACACAGGGAGACATGGGGAGACACAGGGAGACATGAGGAGACACAGGAAGGCATGGGGAGACACAGGTAACCATGAGGAGACACAGGGAGACATGGGGAGACACAGGGAGACATGAGGAGACACAGGGAGACATGGAGAGACATGGGGAGACAAAGGGAGACACAGGGAGACATGGAGAGACACAGGGAGACACAAGGAAGCAAGAGGAGACACGGGGAGCCATGAGGAGACACAGGGAGACATGAGGAAACGGGAGGACGGCATGGAGAAACAGAGAGGTGAGCGGAGGTGAAGTGAGACACAGAGAGACAAAGGGAGGCAATCTGAGCCCCGGCGAGGTGAGGGGAGGTCAGAGGAGCAACAGGGAGACGAGGCGACGCACAAAGAGGCACGTGGACGCGCGGGGAGGACTCGCGGAGATGGACGGAGGAACAGAGATGCAACACGAGTCCAAGTACATATTGAACACAACGTCATCCGCCATTCGCCGCAAGTGGCGGTGTGTCTTCACCTCGGCGCACGTGCAAAGCGAGGTGCACTGTGAGGCCAAAGGGTGTTTTTTTTTTAGAAGGCTCGCGACAGACCCAGGTGCTGTGGGTTAACAAGCCGAGGCGATTGGCAGATGCACCACCGACAGTCAGGCACGCGCAAAAAACTCAGCACACGCACACACACACACATGAAGATCTCCGTGCAGACATGCAGACCGCAAGGGCAAAGGCTGTTTAGCGAGCACTTATTAAGGCCGGCACGGTTCACGAAGAAGTGGTGTGCCCTTTGGTTCTTTCGGTAAAGTCAGGTAGGTGAAAATAAAATTAATAATAAAAATAAAAAATGTAAATTTAAAAAAATACAATTTAAATAACGAATTTAATCTTTTTTATTTTTTTTATTTCTATTATTATTATTCTTTTATTAAAAAAACATTTTCCCCTACGTGACTTTACCGAAAAAACCCAAGAATATGGATCCTTGCAGTCACGAAAACTTCAAATCTAGAATTAAGTGGCGTGCCAATATGTACACACCGTACCAGGCACTCGTGTACGGCTGAGTCAACCTATAGGAGACCCAGTAGATTCTTTGTATCGTGATGATGCCGATAATACAAATCGGGATAAAACTGGGGAGAAATTACAACAGTAAGACACAAAGACACGTAGGTTTTTACTTTTGCAGACGCATACACATACACACAGACGCACCCGGCCAGCAGGGTTAAGTTCCCGCTCACGGCTAACATCAGTGGCGAGTGATATTTCAACCGGCTCTGGGCATCAGCATCCCCTACTCTTCAACAAACCCATAGTTCGCCAAGCTACGAACGATGGGCCAAATAACCCTTCATCCAGCAGTGGAATGACACAAAAGGGGCAGCAAACGATTGCGTGTAACTGCCTCTGGTCGCCATGCTCACAGTTGCTCCCATTGTTACGACACTGCCAATCCCTCTAGCCACACTATAGCCGCAGTCTCCCCGGGGAGAAAGAGAGAGAGGGGAGGAGATGGAGGGGGAGAGAGAGAGAGAGAAGTTGCGTGTTCTGTCTGCCACCTGCGTAGGTCAATGCAGGGTCGGCCATTGTGAAAGAAAGTAGCCAAGTAACTTATACGGGGAGGGTGAGAGGGGTGGGTTTGGGGGAGATGAGTGGAAAGAAGGGCCGAGATGTGGGGGAGTGAAAGACAGAGAGAGACGGTGGCTACGTATAGAACGAGAAAGTGAGCGAGAGAATGAGCGACAGAACGAGCGAGAGAACGAGTGAGAGAGTGAGAGAGCGAGAGAGCGAGCGAGCGAGCGAGAGAGCGAGCGAGCGAGGGTTACATAAAGCCCCGTTAAAAAAAAACATTTTACGAAATGATGAACGAAACAAAGTGCCGAATACACCGAGCATCTTCTTGTTTCCACTGATCGTAAAAAAAAAGAGAGAGACGGTGAAAAGTGACTAGGAGAGAGAGAGAGCGTGATGCAGCACTTGTCGTAGTTAAAAAAAAGAATATAAAACAAAACAAAAACTAAATGATGAACGAAGCAAAGTGCCGACTACACCGAGCATCTTCTAGTTTCCTCTATTCATGGAGAGACATGGGGAGGCAAGGGGAGACACAGGGAGACATGGGGAGACACGGGGAGGCAAGGGGAGACACAGGGAGACATGGGGAGACACGGGGAGGCAAGGGGAGAAACAGGGAGACATGGGGAGACAAGGAGAGACACAGGGAGACATGGGGAGACATGGGGTGACACAGGGAGACATGGGGAGACACAGGGAGACATGGGGAGACACAGGGAGGCAAGGGGAGACACAGGGAGACATGGGGAGACACAGGGAGACATGGGGAGACACAGGGAGACATGGGGAGACAATATAATGGCACGGGAAAGGAGAGACGGAGAGACAGACTCATGTACAGGGACAAAGACTAAGACACGTGTGGAGAAACACTCAACACGCACGGACAGACGTGCACGCAGTCAAAACCACACGCACAGACACTCTCAATCACGCAAATGACACCCGCCCTCAGTCCGATGCAGACACACACTCAAGTAAAAAATATATTCTTACGTAGACAAACGCTCGCTTGCAAACTCCCGCAACACTCGCACACGCTCACTCACACTCGCGCGCATGCCCGCTCGCGCGCACACTCGCACACACCAACACCC